AGAGGCCCAGGCCCAGACATATCATAATTAAAATGCCAAAAGTTCAAGACAAAGAATCTTAAAGGCAGCAAGAGAAAAGCAAGCTGTTACCTACAAAGGAGCTCCCATATGGCTGTCAGCTGACTTTTCCTCAGAAACTCTACAGGCCAAAAGTATTCAAGGTAATGAAAAACGAGGATCTGAAACCAAGACTACTCTATCCAGCAAGGCTATTATTCAAAATAGATGGTGACATAAGGAGCTTCCTAGACAAAAAAAGGCTAAAGGAGTTTATCACCACCAAACCAGCATTGCAGGAAATGTTAAAAGGACTGCTGTAATTAGAAGTAGAAATAGAAGCATTGCAAGAAATGTTAAAGGGACTGCTGTAATAGTAAGAAGAAATAGAAAGAGAAACATAGGCATAAAGAATTAAAATGCAATAAGTAAGGACCTGTCAGTAATAACCTTAAGGACTTTAAGGGAGAGATCAATAGCAATACAGTCATAGTCGGGGACTTTAACATCCCACTGACTTCACTGGATAGATCTTTCAGACAAAAAGGCAACACAGAAACTGACTCTAAATGGCACACTAGATCAGATGGATTTAACTGATATTTATAGAACATTTCACCCAAAGCTGCAAAATATACATTCCTCTAAAGTGCACATGGGTCATGCTCTAAGATAGGCCATATGTTGGGACACAAAACAAGTCTCTACAAGTTCAAGAAGACTGAAATCATTATCAAGCATTTCAGATCACAATGGCATGAAATTAGAAATCAACTACAGTAAAAACATTCAAAAACATTCAAACACATGGAGGCTAAATAGCATGCTATTAAACAATGAATGGGTTACCAATAAGATCAAGAAAGAAATAAAAAACGTCCTGGAAACAAAATGAAAATGAACACACAACAACCCCAAATCTATGGGACACAGGGTAAGGAGTCCTAAGAGGGAAGTTCATAGCACTGCAGGCCTACCTGCAAAAACCAAAAGCAAGAAAAATTTTTAGCAAACTATCTAACTCTACAACTTAAAGAATTAGAAAGCTCCCCTGTGAAGCTGTCTGGACCAGGGCTTTTGTTTGCTGGGAATTTTTTTATTGCTGCTTCGATTTCATCAGTTGTTACTGGCCTATCCAGATTTTCTGATTCTTCCTGATTCAGTTTTACATGATCTCACTCATATGTGGAATCTAATAAACAAAATAAACAGAGGAACAAAATAGATCCAGAGACATAGAAGCATGGAACAGACTGATGGATCTCAGAGGGAAGGCAGGGGAGGGGAGTGGGTGGGGGGAGATTAATCAAAGAACTTATATGCATCTGGCATAACCCATGGACACAAACAATAGTGTGGTGAAGGCCTGGGGTGGTGCGGATGGGGGCTGGAGGGGATAAATGGGTAAAAAAAGGGGGGATATCTGTAATACTTTCAACAATAAAGATAAATTTAAAAAAACACACCAAAAAACCCCAGAACAAACAAAATTAAAAAAAAGAAATACTGTAAGGTCTGTGGAGAGAGGAACATGGAGCTCCCACATAAACCATCAGGAAACCACAGAGCCTAGTGGAGAGAGTCTGAAATTGTGGTATCACAGTGAGCTGAATTAAGCAGATTTTCTAATTGCCTCTGAAGGGCAAATGTAGCATTGATCATGATTGTAGAAGTATACATTGCCCCTTTCTTGTGCATTTTCCCTTTTCCTGTGCTAGTGAGTTTTGTCAGCTATGATATTCAGAAGTTAGTTTTGATAATGTCTATTTTGAAAGTGACACTTACTTAGACAAGCATTAAATTAGATAACATTGTAAGAATAGCAAAAAGCACCCTCAATCTCTTATCAATGGAAATGGGGTTCTTTCACAAAGTCGCAAAGAAAGCATCAGGGAGACCCGAGTATAGGAGGGTGTGGCATGGTGCGATTTATTGTGGCGCCAGATGCAAAATCAAAGGACTGGCCCTGGGTTCCCAATGTCTCACCTCCATCTGTCCCTCTGTAAAAAAATCTAACCTTGTCTTCATCAGGCCCAGAAATAGGGCCAATGCCCAGAGATTTAATGCCACTGCTTCGGCCCATGTCTGTCCCCATCCAGCTAGTGTAGAGTGCTCAGGGCTGGCCTTGTTGCCTGCAGAGCGGGTGCTAGGGCCACATGGTTGCTACGGAGAGAAAACGCAGGAACAAACTGCGAGCATGTTACACAGCAAGAGAGAGCTCTGCTGAGCTTGGGTTATATTATCTCGGTCTTGGGAAGGACCAGGCGTCCTTTCACACTAACCAATCAACTTCCCAGCCTTTCCTGGACTGGCACCGGAGCCTCCCCGTAACCAACCCACTTCCTAGATCTTCCAGGGCTCCGTGTCCCTTGTCCAATCCGATCCTTTTTGCAGGCGGGACCGACAGGCCTCTACGGTGCCTCTTGGCTCCTACTGCACATGCCTCATAGTAGAAGCACCCCCCCTGTGCCATGTTGGCTCCTACTGGGCATGTGCTGTTTCTATTCCTCCCCTGGTAATGACCAGGAACAATCTTTTCTGCTCACTTTGGGGACTTAGAGGTCCCCTGGGGAGTGTGTGGAGCTGTAGCTGCCCAGTGGAGCAAGCAGGCTCAGAGTCGGATTTAGCTCCCCAGTTCATCATGTTTAATAATGTCGGAGTCCCTTTGCTCCTTTCCTTTATTAATATCTAGGTACAGCCTTGGCCAGGTGGCTCAGTTGGTTAGCATTGTCTCAAGCATTGTCTCATACATCAAAAAGGTTGTGGGTTTGATTCCTAGTCAGGGCACTTACGGGAGGTAACCAATCAATGTTTCTCTCTCTCTCTCCCCTCCTCTTTCTCTAAAAACTAATAACAACATATCCTCAGGTAAGCATTAAAAAATATATATATCTAGGTACCTACGCTAACAAACCCACTACTCCCCCCCAAATAACCTGTGAGCGCTTACAGAAGGGCTCCTGATCCTACGGCTTCCTGTGTGCCAGGCGCTGGCCTGCCCCTGGCCTGGCAGGTATCTCTCAGGCTGGAATGCCACACAGTCTCAACCACTCAGGCTCAGCCTCAGGCCTCCTTCCAGGGACCTTCCCTGGCTCTCTGCTCTGCTGGGCCCTGACCCTCAGGGTGGCTCCCCTGCTTCTCCTAATGAGGAGACCCCTGCACACGAGATGGACTGTGGCTCTGTCTTTGTCCCTCTAGGGCCAGCCGAGCAGAGGCCTTGCATAAGCAGTCACTCAATTACTGCTGAACAATGGATGGCAGTTGTCCTAGACCTGAGGTTGTAAATATGGGCTGGGGAGTAAATGACCTGGGGAGGCCTGTTTGGTTTCTTTTCTACCCTCTCCTTGGTCTTGCCGCCATCCCACCTGAGCCCCTATCTGGAAAATTCCTGATGCCGAGAGTTTGTGATTTGTGGTGACCCCATTTTTCACTGTCCAGGCCACCCACAGACCCCCCACAATGACTCCTCCTCCTCCATGCCCTGTGGCCACCTCTGTCCTCAGGCCCCACACGGATCCCCAGGATATGCACGAAAATGAAGGAGTTACGTCAGTGTCAAGAGTGGCGCTGGGGCTCAGCTCTGGCTCATCTGTCAAATTCAGCTATACACTCTGTAGGGTGAGAGTCTCAGAAATTGTAGCAGGGGGTCAGGGTGGACACACGCAAACAAAAAGAGAGCTTGGTCCTGACTCTTTCAGTTCAGTAGAGTGCACCTTTATTGAGCACCTAGGAAACTGTGCTGCCAAAGGGGGGCAGATAACAGAACCTGCAACGGGCCACCCATTGTCCCTCCACGACAATGGAGCTAGGTGGGAAGTTCACCTGAACAGTGGGCGCACACAGCAGGGCTGCTCCAAGCTCTGCTCTTCCCAGAGCTGTTGAGGAGCCACCCCTTGAGGCAGAGATGGGATCTCCAGGGCACCTGGAAGCCCTGATGGTTCTTCCCTCTTAGTCGCCACCCGCAGGCCTCGGTGGGAAAAGAATTTGGTCTTAGCTTCCTGAGAAGCACCACATGACTGATGTAAGCTGTCGCACAGTTTTGCAAAGGACTTCTTATTCTTTCCAGAAATTCTCCATCAGTTGACAAACCCAAATTGCTCAGCATCTGGCCCCAGGGAATTCAGAGCCCTTTTGCTCCTCGAGGGGAAGTACTGAGAGCAGAGGGATGCAGCCCAGAGTGGGCAGTGGAGGCCGACTGAGCAGTGCCTTCTCCGGCCCCTGCCGGCAGCCTGGACGCTGGACTCTTGCCCACACGGGGTGTGGTACTTCCAGTGCCATGTGGGCCATCTCCTTCACGTGATCTAATTGGCATGATTTTGCAGTGAGTTCCTCATAAGAATTCTTCAGGTCTTGCTGAGGAAATTTAGAGTTAGTGCAGCAGAGAGAAAACGAGGTGCTCGTGGTCTTACTTCTGGTCTGGCCTCTCCCTCGGGGCACTGGGCTGTGTAAGGCTCAGGGAGTGACATCAGGTGTTTGGAGGCCAGGGTCCAGGGATGCCATGGTGAAGTGATGGCTGGGAATAGGCCACAGTCCAAACCTGCAGGGAGCCCGTTTTCCCCAGCAGAGCTCCTGAGAGGCAGCGCAAGGTGAAGACATACAGGAGCCGCATGGTTCATGTGGACAACGAGGAGGGGCTGTGGCCCTGCAGGAGCTCGGGGCCAGGCACTGGAGAAGCGGACAGAGCCCATGCTCCAGGGGCTCAGTTAGCTACTGCTCTCCTAAGCAGGAGAGGTATGGCCTGAACAGGACTAGCCACATCATCCAGCCACATATGTGGCAGGTGCCAGCATCAGGGATGTTCACTGCCCAGACTAGCCTCTCATTCAGCTCCCACACAAACCAGCAGGAAACTCCACCGAGCAAGCTTCTGCTACTCAGGCCTGTGTCGGGTCCTGTGAGCGCTCACCTTGGAGATAAAAGCCAGGAATGGGACTCGTGGTACTTAGGCAGGTGGACAGGTGGAAGAATGGGCGCTGGATTCCGCAGGTAGGGGGCATCAGTCAGGGCCCGCTCACTGGCACTCAGTGTGCAGTGCTGCTGATGGCTCCAGAAGAGGCAGGCACTGGTGGGCTACTTGGCCTCCACCAGCTGCTCCAGGCGCTGCAGCATTGTCAGACGCAGGGCTTGAAACCTGGAGGGAGACACAGCCAAGTGGACTCACTGACACTGCAGGGAAAGGGGGTGGGGGAAGGGAGCAGAGCAAGGGAGTCACAGACGCTTGGGCCCGGAGACATAGGGTTCCTGACTGGCTGATCAGAGCTACCACCTTTTTTACCCCAAGGAGGGAAGAGCCAGGCCCACACTCTGTGGGACCAGAGGCAATCAAACAGGGCTGCACACACTGCCAAGCTCCAGAGCCGAATGCTGCTGTTTCTAGTCCAAAGACTGTCCAGTATGGACAGGAGCATGCTGGAGTGGACAGGCAGAGCCAGGACCAGGAGCCTTGGGTTCAAGCCTGGGTCCTGTAATAACTGTGCTGCGAGCTTCCTCACCTTGGGCCTGTTTCCTCTCTGTACACTGAATAGATGGTCCTTTCCAGATCCAAAATCCTAGAGTGACCCTACTGACTGCATGGAGACTGTTTCCTCTATGGGGTCTGTGCTGAGTGCTTGCGTGGGGCCCAACTGCACAGATGGAAATCTGGGGGCATGGGGAAAGGGGCATGGCTTTCCAAGGATCATTCAGCCAGAAGCCAGAATCCAAACTAGGCTCAACTTCAGGCCTTAGCAATGAGCAGCCTCCCTCCTTCCCTTCCTGAGAGGAACTCTGACCCCGGCCCTGGCTGAGACCTCACACGTGTCTTTTCCATGCTTCGCTCTGCAGAGGGAGAGACAATCACTGGGACATGTAACCTGGCTAACCTTACACTGCTGGGCCCTGGTATAGCTTCTCCAGGAGCTGCTAGGTGACACCTGTTCACTTTTCCATTGAACTGGCCCCTGCACCTGAAAACATCAACTGATACAGGGAGTTGAAACAACTGCTCCTTTCCAGCAGGCTCAGATTCCCACCAGCACGAAAGGCCTGGAGCAGGCTAACCATGGGCAGAGCAGGCCCTCTCTCCGCTGATCTTCCTGAGCTGGGTCACCAGCAGAACTCTCAACCCTGGTCCAATGCCACCCATGCTCCTGCCTGACTAGCTGCCCAGTGTTCATCAGCCTGTGGCTCTCCCATGCTGGTGAGGTACTGAGGCTGGACGGGTGGTGCTGGAAAGCCAGGGTCGGCAGGCCTCCCTGAGCCATGTGAGGGAGCCTGGCATGTCTGGAGGAGAGAGCTCTCCCAGCCCTGGCCCTGGCACCTCTGCCCTGCAGGCTTGCCCTGATGGTCAGGACCCACGACTGGCCCTTTAAGCCCTGGCGCCTCTGCCCTGCAGGCTTGCCCTGATGGTCAGGACCCACGACTGGCCCTTTAAGTCCTGGCCCTGGCGCCTCTGCCCTGCAGGCTTGCCCTGATTGTCAGGACCCACGACTGGCCCTTTAAGTGCTGCTTACTTCATGGTCAGTTTGATTATTTCTCTTTGTTCCTCTTCTTTTAATTTTTCAATAAAACTGTCCAGCACCGGCATTTCAAACTTAATGTACTGGGCAACCTAGAAAATCCAAGAACATTTTATTGTGCTTTAAGTCAGAAGCCAGAAACATGCCTTCTTTTCCTCACGGTTTCCATGGTCGCCAGTTCGGCAACGTCTTACATCCATGGAAGTGCCCCACCCCAGCACTGCTCTGTGTGCTCCAGGAGGGGACAGTGGAGCCCACTCTTTCCTCAAGGGCAGCCACTATCCCTGGGGGGAAGATTAAGCTAAGTATTAGAAAGAGCGTTGGACAGTGATCAGGGGTGCTCTCCGGGTGCAGGTGGGGAGTGGTGGGGACACCTCTGTTCCTAGCAGTGGAACGAAACTTGACTGGACTGTGGGACAGCGTCACCTGGCCTTCTCCTTGTGGTCCAAACCCTGTAGGCCTTCTCATCAGGCGAGTTTGGAAATGCATCCCTTGCCTGATAGGACTCAGGCTGTGACAGACTTAGATGCCCATCCACAGGCCCTAGTCAAGAAACCCTTGTGTGGGCTTCAGTGTAATGACGACAGGATACACTGCAGTGAAGGACACGTTTCCGCCTGACAGGGGAAAAGCACCGGCAGTGGCTTCCCAGAACCCAGCCTCTTCTTCCTCTGAGCCAGCTGGTGGAGCTGGTGGTGGCTGGCACGGGGTGGGGAGAGGGGAGCTGGAGCCATCGTTGCCCTTGCTTGGGGCCCTTCAGGACAGCCATGTGGTCCCTGGAGACAACGTCCCAGAGGGCTGTGGCCAAGGTCACCCTTGGAGCCCCCGAGTCCCCACGCTGTCATCCAGCCCCCACCTCAGGAGCAGGCCTCTCAAGCCTCGGCCCCCACTCACGTCATGGGGAACTTCCTCGCCCAGGTCGGCTTCCATCAGGAACATCCTGGCAATTTTCTCACAGGGTCCATGCAGGATTCTGGAAATCAGCGGGTACTCACAGTCTTTTAGTTTTGTCCGCTCTGAAAAGAAAGGTGGTTTATGAAGTGTATGGGGGCGTCAGGATCGCCTGTCTCTGTTCTGGACAGTTGCGTAACAGACAACAGATGTCCAGGGGCCCCAGGGAACCCTCTCCAGGCCTGGCTGAGAAGATTGCCCTGAATGGTGTGTGATCGTGCCATTCATAAAGGCCCACAAGGACAGAAGAGTCCCCGAGGCAGTGGGGGAGAGAAGAGCAGACACGGGAGGCTGGGCCTGCAGTTCCCATCCTGCACTGGGAGGGGGTGGCAGGCTCTGAAACAGCACTGCTTGGGGGTGAGGTGCTTCAGCTCCAGTTTGCAGGCCCCACCCCAACACTCCCAACTGGGTGAGGCTGGGGATGGCAGCTTCCCATGCGGTTGTGGAGGGTTCTGAAAGGGGTGACAAGTGTGCCTGGTTTGGGCTGGGGAGAGGCACTGGTGGTGGAAGTGCAGCAGATGCCAAGGCCAGGAGGCAAGTTGCCCTGTGCCTGCCACACAAGCCAGCCCAGCCCTCAGAGAGGGAACATGATCGGTGAGATAGTCTCGTTTGTTTGATCTGGGCTCACGGCCGACACTCACCCCCAGACTCATGAACGACGTACAGGGCAAACTCACTCGGGCCGTTTTCCACCTGCAACAGCAGAGGTAGGAGGTGAGACCACGGCTCTCCAACAAGAGAGACAGAGAGGCATCCCTGGCAGTCACCACACACCCAGTGCCACACCCATAAATCCCCAGGACCACATACCCCCACCCCTCTCTGCTTCAAATCCCAGAGAGTCCAGCTCAGCGGAGGAAACCTTGCTAGACCCAGGGGCCACAGGCAGCTTCCCCAGCCTTCACCAACCCGGCACAACAACAAAAAGCTGAAAACCACCAGCACAGGGACGAGGCCACTTGCAGCCAGACTCACTCGGAACTTGTTCAGCAGCAGGGTGAGCACCTGCAGGGTGGTCATGGTGCTGTTGACCCTCACGTTGGTCACGGACCCATACGCAGGAGTAAACACGGAGGTCTGTACAGGGAGGGGGAAGTTTAAGGCAGGGCCTAGGGGACAGGGCTGACATGGCTCAGGGTCTGGGCACACTGTCAGCCAGCCGGGGCTGAGGAAAGTGCAGTGGCAGGGGAACTGGGCCCTGGGAACACTGGTGCCTGCTCTTGCACACAGATCCACATACAAGCCGTGCCCGCCTCTGGGCACACCCGGGAAGCCATAGCAGTTCAAGCCTTCCTGAGACAGACGCCTGCAAAGCTACAAGGGCAGTTGTCTGACCCCAGGAGCCAGTGGGGTGGGGGTAACTCACAAGGGGCGGGGGGACCGATCTCTCCCTCACTTTCTGTCCATCGGTTCACCAAGTGTTTGTTGATCCTAAGGCAGAAAGTTCTCGGACCTGTCCACTCCTCTCCATTCTCCCAGTGCGCCTGAGGAGAGGCCCTCGGTTCACACTGCCTCAGTTTCCCAGCTCCCCCTTCCAGGCTCAGCAGTTTCAACCTGTTCTCCACGCTGTTGCCCAAAGGAATAACCTTTCGAAAACCTTGCAGCTCAAAGGGTGTCCTGAACCAGCTGTGTCAATGTCCAGCCTCGGGCCCCGAAGCAGAGCGTGTGTTTGAAGGAGGAGACCAGGCGATGCTTTGTGTAGAGTAGGATTTGGAAAACACTGTCTTGAAAAACAGTTTAGATAAAAGTATCAAAGGCTTCCCGAGGCCTACACAGCGCCGTCCGCAGCTCCTCTCGCCGTTACGCGATGCGATGGTTCCTCCGAAGCACCTGTGCTCCAGCCACACGGCGTCACCGCAGTCCCAGGCCCCTTATTTTCTCGCAGGTATCACCTTTGTCTGTGAGACACCGCGGATGAAGCAACCAGGGTCCCGCCTGAGGCTTAATAAGCCAGGTAGTAAACCTACTAAGTGCTTTACATATAATCTTCGAGTTAATCCTCATGATAGTTCTTGGAAGTACCTGCACTTGTCCCCTTTTCTAAGAGAGGACACAGAAGCTTGGAAAGGTTAAGTCGCTTGTTGTCACCAATCTAGAAAGGAGAGAGTTGCTGGAAGCCCCATGCATCACCCCCATGGCATGAGGGCCTCCCTGTGCATCCAGCTCTTCTGTGGGCGAGCTCCTCCTCGCTCCCCACAACCAAATTCAAATTCACACACCCTTCTGTCTGGCACTCACTCAGCTTTCCTCCAGATGTAATGGGACTTAGGGTATGTGAGGGACTTGCTCTGTGTCCCCAGCTGGTCCCCAGTGCCAGAGCCAGACTCAAACCTAGGCCTGTCTTCTCCACAGGTGAGATGTAGAATGACTCTGGTTTACACAGAGAGCCAGGCTAGGCTTTCACCCCAATAAACATGGGCTAAGTGGAGGGGTCAGGCCAGTCCCAGGGAAGAAAGGTCTTATCAAGGTGCTGCTTCTTCCCAAAGCCCTTTTCAAGGTGACACCACCAGCTCCAGGTGGGAAGAAAGGTCCTGGCCGCCTTCCCTCTCCAACCACAGTGCGCTCTCTCTGATTGGACACACTTGAACCTGACAGGCCAGGGCAGGCAGGGGTGGGGCGTGTGTGTGTGTGTGTGTGTGTGTGTGTGTGGTGTACCATGTTTTACCCAGGCTGGAAATCAAGCCAACACTGCTGTGAGCCAGAGCAGCTTTGGAAAATGATTAAGTGAAGCAATAGTGCACAGCTCTAAGAAAGAAAACCTGGAATAACAACTCCAGGAAGTCAATTCTAGGAATTAAAAAAAGCTGTTATCATGGACTCAAATACTTTGTCACCTGATTTCTAAGAACACTGATTCTGAATGGCTGTAGAGCAAGGTGAGAAAGAGGGCTTTGGAGGTGTTTCTCTTTGGGAGCTCCCTTTCTCACCCAGGAGATGTGGACCAATCGTCCAATATACCTGAGATACTAGTTTATGTCCTGGAAGGTAGTCAATTTGCCAAAAAGACTGGATCCACATCCTGCAGCTAAACCTGTTACTAGGAGGGAAATCTGCCCCGATTGGTTCAGGCTGGTGTGCCGGGTGCTGGGCTGGCTGAAGCGCCCTTCTTGGCAGTGTGGCTGATGAGAGTCCTTGCTGCTCATTTATATTCATTTCAATGGCTGCAGGTTGCTTAGACATCTCCATGTCCCTGTGACATTTGCTCAGACATCTCTATGTCCCTGCGACATTTGCTCAGACATCTCCACGTCCCTGTGACATTTGCAATTGCTAAAATAAGGTTTAACGAGCTAGACACACCTCTCAGAGATGAATGACTCCCTTAGGACCCTGCTTTATAATCAGGGCCAAAGATATGTACCAAAGATAAACCCCACAATTTGGTACATTTGGTAAATGTACCAAAGATAAACCCCACAATTTGGTACCTGGACTCTTTTAGGAACGTAGAACCAGAAAGAGCCTGAACCCATGCAAATATATTTTTTTTAAATTTCAAAACAATTCCTTAAAATAGCTTATCACTATGCATTCAAATACTAGTTATTGTTGCTTACTTAATACTTACAGACTAAACCCCCTTGGAACAAGATTTAAAAGATATCCAAATTCTTAGAAGGATTTACTACATGTAGCGCTTTCGCTAACTAAACCATTCTTAACCTCTGCTTAAGTTCAGTCCTGGCTCCCCCTTCACTCTGTCAGGAAACGCCACCCTCAGACAGTCCTGGGTTTTCCTGGACTGAGGGATGATAACCGGCTGTCACTCGTCAATGCTCACTGCGATCCTACAGGGAGAGCTGGGAGGCCCTGATGAGAAGGCAGGGTCCTTCAGCTTGCCTTACTGAGGTCCTCAGCCTGGAGCCCAGGCCCCAGGAGTGGCCTGCATGGCTCCTGGCAGGCCCAGCCTGCGCTGCTGCTCTGCAGCCCGACCCAGAGCCTCCCTCCCCCTCCCACTGGTTACTGCCTGTCGAGAGGGCTGCTGTTGACTGGAAGCCTCTGCTCCATTTCCCAGGGCTCCAGGACACTCCGTCCAGGGCCTCACCCAAACTGCCACTTGTGCATTTGTAGTAACAATCAACTTCTTGTCTTACAGTTTAGTTTGTTTATGGAATGATGTCATCCAGGGAAGGAGACCTTTTCCTGAGCTCAGTACAATACATGGTGGGACAAAAGGCTAATGCTGGGAACTGGGAGCCGTGCGAGTTCTCTGAACACAGTAACATGAGCCCGGGCGCAGCTCAGCCTCTTGGGCTTAGTCTACCCAGCAAAGTGCCGGCAAGGTACATGATATGCCCATGAACCGAGCCCAGATGAAACTGCATGGGACATTGTCTAACTAAAGATAGACCTGGCGTGGACCAAAGGCGGACTTGCCAAAAATCCATGCAACTTGTGAGAATGGATCAACAAGTCTGTGGTAAAAAATAATACAGGCTTTCGGGCCACGAGTTGGAATATTACTTGGATGTGACTTTGGGCAAGATCTTTCTTCCCGAGCCCTGTTCCTCCACACGGCACGACCGCACCTGCTCACAGGGAGCTGGGGAGGGTACGCTCTGGCTTATGGAAGGCCCAGCGGTTTTGCCCGTGCTTGGGGCTGCCTCCCTGTGGCCTCACCTTCAGGGCCCAGGGCAGAGGCGGGGCTGGGACATCACCTTGTGGTTGTAAAAGTGCCCATTGATGGAGAACCGGTGTCGCCGAATCCTCTGGGTCTCACCAGGTGCGCGGCACCTGGGCCTCCTCTGGATCACACAGGCAGCGTCGCTCTTGGTCCGCATCAGCTGCGGGGTCTCCTCGTCTTCCTCCTGGGGCTCTGCAGTGAGAAAGGAAGAACGGTCAGGCTCAGGCAGAGCGACAGTGACAGAGGACGGCTGTGCTCCAGCGGTCCTGCCGTGTGGGGCCAGGCTCCCTGGACCCCGTGGTAGCCCCGCGCAGCCGCAGACAGCGATGTGAGCGCTAGTCCTGGGCAGATGCTGGGTCCAGCCTGGGTGATGTCCAGTGTGCGGACTGGAAAGGTGGCCCTCAGAGAGGACAACCTGTGTTCCCACGTCACACTGCCATGTGCCTGCGGGCCTCCGTCTCTGGGCACCCAGGCAGGTCTTTGGCAGCTGAGCCCTGTGCTCTGAACAGGTCCTTCACTGGGAGCGAGGGGAGGGCACAGAGGACAGACGAGCAGTTACTACGAATCCCTGAGTGGGAGGAAGAGGCCCGAGGGGCCTTTGCTGACAGGAGGGCTCCCCACCCTCTGCGAACTTTGGGTCACTAAGGAACATCACCTCCGCAAGCCCCTGCTCCCTTTTCCATTAGTGAGGAGTCAATGAGGATGCCTCGCATTGCTCCCAAGGACAAATGAAGCCAAAAAGCTGTTCCCCAGAGATGGTGGCTGTGGGCTAAGCCCCTCCTCTCCTGCCCAGGATGAGGAGACCAGGCTCCAGGCAGCTCTGGCTCTGCTCACCTGAGCTCTTGCAGGAGTTTTCAGGCCTGTGCTCAGTGGGCTGAATGCTTGGCTTCTGGGCAGTGGCTGTGCCATCCTGCAGAAGTGGTTCCTTTCTGAAAAGACATAATTACAGAGAAAGTAGCCCAGGCCAAAGAGAAGAGGCTCCCTGCCTCTGGGGACAGGACACAGGCGAGGCGCAGGACAGGCGAAGTTGAGGCTGGGATTTCACACCGAGAGTCAAATGTAAAATATTAAAAGAAAAGCACAGTATTGGCACAGTGTCTGCTGGGGAAAAAAGGAGTCTGTTCCGAGGACCTACATGGCTCTGCTCTGCCATACTGCATGGACACAGGGACACAGCAGTGCTTGTGTGCAACTGGGCACCAGGCCGAGGCAGGCTGAGGTCTGCTGCAGTGTGCCAAGTGGGCTCTGGCATCCTTTAGTCAAGGGCCAGGCAGGGGACCAACCCCTGGGCCTGAGGGCTGGAGAAGGAACTAGCCCATAGCATGAAGGAGCCGGGGAGGGGCAGACAGAGGAGCAGAATCCGTGCTGAGAGGCCCCGAATTCCTGCTGTCTGTGACTGCCTACGTGATAGAGTCAACCCTGAGGAGTGGGAAATAGGCCACACCTGCTGCCTCTCTAAGCAGCCCACCTGAATGAACTTCACGCTTTAAGTCTGAGTTGCTCAAGACTCGCCACAGGTGTTTAGGGATACCTGAGGATGCGCCAGGGCTGTTAACATGCTAAGGGTCCTTGCAGCAGCAACTTGACTTTAATATTTGAGGGGGAAAAATGATATTAAATTTTGATAAATTTATAAAAATAAATTCTGATATTAAAATAAAAGCAGAGCAGTAGAGGGCTAAATCTGTATGCATTTTTAAGATAGAACAAGAGATGCTGGGAAATGTTTGTCTCCCAGTGGTCTCCCACCTACAGCCCTCTCCTTGCAGACAGGGTGGTCTATGGGAATGTTTGAGAAGCACACTGGAGGTGCTAGAACCCAGAACATTCTCCAGGAGGGAAGTGACCTGGCTGTCATCTAGAAAGACCACCTAGGTGAGGCTGCACGTGGGCAGGTGAGGCCATGGCTGAGGCAGTCATGAGGTGACAGGTGAGATTGGGCTATGCTCCCATGCTGTGCCCCACACAGGGGCAGGGCTTTTGCCCTGAGGCTGAGGACCCCCACCCAACACCCCAAACAGTAAGCTCAGGTTGAACAGGTGTCACAGAGGCAACCTGGCCACCCCCCAGCCCAGCACTCACAGGTGGCAGCTGGGCTGTCCAGGCATCCAGGTGGCCGAGGAGAGGTGCGTCGGCTCCCTGTCATCCTGTATCTGGAGCCGGATGGGCCGCCTCAGCCCCCAGGCAATGTTGAGGAGCCCCTCGATGATCAGAGCCCCTTCTTCCTGTGGGGACCTATACAGGTCAGCCTCTTCCCCCAAAGCAGCGCCCTTAGGAATCACTGCCCACCTCCCTGAATCCCCTGAGGACCCAGCCCTTCAGAGATGGGACTCCCTGGACACTCAAGCCCCCACAGGTACGCCCTCCTCCTTAGGGTCCTCCCCTGGGGGAAACCCCACGAACTTCTACATGCTCTGAGGCGCAAGGCCACAGGCCCAACAGGGTGAAGTCCAAGGAGTGTCCTCCCGCTGTGTCGCCCACACCTGGTGAGGGGCAAGCCAGGGACAGAGTGGCTGAGTGAGGTGTCCCAAGGGAACCCAGCTGCTATCTGCAGCCATGTCCATATAGTGGCGAGGAGATGTGGTCTAGGGGAGCATGGCCACACCAAGATCAGTGCTGTACAGGGCAACTTTCCACCCACAGCATGCCTGGGTTGGGGTCCCACGGTCACCAGGTCCTGCTGGGAACATGCTAAGGGTGCTGGACTCCATGCCCTCTGGAGCAGAGGTAGTGGCTCCTTGGAGCTGGGTTGCAGCCTCACCTTTCTCCCCACACTATTCCCATTAGTGGGCTGATTTCCAAGCTGGCTTCTTTTCTGAGGGTCAGGCTTGCCCTTCTCACTGCCCGAGACATGGCCAGCCCGCCTCCCTCCCACACAGCACGCCCACTCAGAGCATCCCTGTGAGCTGCACCAACGCCCATGCAGGGCGGTGAAGTCAATCCTTCCAAGCAGAAGCCAGACTGCTGCACCCTTGCTCCAACCCTGTGGTGTCCTTCCACCCCCTCAAAGGGAAAAGCAATGTCCACAGAAGGTCCAATAACTGCCACCCACATGGACCAGTCATGCTGGTCCTTCGCTGTCCACTGAGCATGCCCAGCACACTGCTTTCCCTGGAGCTTTGCACATTCTGTCCCATCCACTGGGATTGTTCAGATCCCCACTCAATGTCCCTCCGAGAGAAGACCCTCCTGGCTGCGCTTTCCCTTGCAGCTGTGATGGGTACCTGAAATGACAGCCCCTATCACTGAGCACTTGCTTGTCTCCCTCATCAGAAGGAAAGCTCTAGAAAGCAGTTACTTGGTTCATTGCTGTGCTCCCTGCGCCTAGAGCAGCTGCTGGTGCACAGGAGCACAGACTAGATACCTGGGAACAAGGAATGGACAAGGTCTCATTTGGAAGCATTGCATCTCGGAAGCAGCAAAACCAGGACCCTGGCACCGCCCTTGGTCCCTGACCAGGGTGAGCATGTGTCGCCTGGGAGCAGGCTTAGCCGTGGGCCCCAGCCACCTCCAGGCTGAGCCCTCCCTTGGTGTCTGGCAAGGCCTCCTCACAGGGACAGCTCCGGGCTGGTGTGTCTCGGGGCTGCAGGGTGCTGGTGAAATACATAGTGGGGAACCTTCTAGGTGGTGGTAGCAGCCCTTAGGGCTGCCTCTCCCAGCCACCAGGGCCTGAGGTGACCAGTTGTGCTCACCCCTCCCCCGCCCTATAAAGTAAACATTTCCAGTGCCTCCCACAGGCAAACACTTGCTCCAGGCTGGCTCGGGGCCAGGCCCACCCACCAGGCTGTTTTCCTGAGAGCCTTCCTGAGCGCTGCTATTCTGGGCCCTCGTGACAGTGACTGATGGCTGGAGGAGAGGTATAAAAGCAGCTGTGGGGCCAAGGCTTGCAGACAGCTCAGGGAGGATCTGCTCTGGGCTGTGGCACACGGTCCTCCCGACAACCCGACACAGGGCACGGGGCTCCATCTGCTGGGCTCCCGTCCGCTGCCCAAGCTTCCTGGGAGTTCCCCGAGACTGTCCTTGCTCATCCAGCATCCCTGCTATCCCGGGTCCCCTCAGCTACAGGTAAGAGAGCCTCCCCGCCCCGGGTTTGAGATAAAACAGAATGGCCTCGTGTCTCTCCCAGGGCCGTCCTCAGTCTGGGACTGCGCAGCCTCAGCGCGGGTCAGAGACTGGGGAGCAGGCAATGGCAGTGACAGTGGCTGCAGGGGGCTTCATGTCATAAAGAGTTTCACAGGAGGTGTCTTCAGTGTTTCTCACACGGAAGCAGGCATTTACAATCCCGTTTTATGGATGAGTAAGCCGAGGCTTGGAGAGGTGGCACTGCCAAAGGTCCCCACGTCAGGAAGCGGCAGCCTGGTCTTAAACTAGGTTTCCTCTGACTCCAGTCCGTTAGGCTGGATTCTCCTGTTCACACAGGTTCTTAAGCAACAGTAACGATAGAGCCTTATGTACATGGGCTTTTAATGTGGGCAGAAAGGAGGGGCGAGGAGTCCTCAGACTGTTCTCAGGCACATGACTCACAGAGGCAGCCTCGGCTGGGGGTGGGGAGGGCCTGGGGGGCAGGAGGAGAGGCATGGCAGACCCTCACCCCTAGTTCTCTGTCAACCAACAGGCTCCTGCTTCCTGTTGTCGGCAGCCATGAGGTCTCGGCTTCTGCTTTCTGTGGCCCGTCTGCCCACGATCCGGGAGAGCTGGGAGGAGGTGCTGCCTGGGGGGCCCAGGCAGGAATCCCCGGCTTCCCCCAGCCTGGAGGACTACAGGAGGTCCATTCATCAGCTGGCACAGCCCACCTCAGTGCTGAACGAGGCTGCAGCCAGGACCCGGCCCAGCAAACCCCACTGGCACGCCCGGGCCTGCGAGAAGAGCTGCCCCACCGGGTCCCTACAGGACATCACCACTCGCTTCAGTGGCCAGCAGCCCCCGCTGCCTGGGGCCAGCACTGCTGACCCCCTGGACTGGCTCTTTGGGCAGTCCCAGGAAAAGCAGCCAAGATTCAGGGACCTGCCTAGGAGGACTGGTCCCTCTTTTGATCCCTGGGGTCCTCACAGACAGATGGAGAGCCGCGAGGCCCCAGGGGGCCCCAGAGGGAAGCTCTATGATGCTAAGGCACCAGGGCACTGTCCAGTGAGACCCTTAAGGGCCTGGCACCAGGGCTCCCGGGCTTCCCGGCAACCCATCCTGGCTGCAACCTCCTTGCCAAGCTCCCACCCCAGCAGAGTTTTCAGAACTCTCTATTTACACCTCCCAGTGATCAATGAACTCTGACCCCTTCCCAATAAAGACTTCTGTACAGAGAGAGCTGGTTTGTGTCACCTCTTCACCCCCCTCCCCTGAGGCAGGAACTGTCCCTGGCAGGTCTCTGGGTGGGGACGGAGTTTCTGCAGGGGCTGCTTGCAGTGAGAGACGCCTGCTCTGAACAGTAAGGACAGCCTATTCCACAAGATGTCGTGCTGCTGGTCCTATTTGCATTGCTCCTTACTGGCTCATCACCTTGGGTACATTATTTAATATCTGTTTCTCGGTTTCCTCATGGGTAAGATGGGGACATTTAGTGGGTCCTGCCCCCTAGGCTGCTCTGATGAGGAAGTGGGTTAAAACACAGGCCATGGGGCACATGCTACGAGCCTGGACACGAAGCAGCTGCTGCCTATGTGGGAAACGAGGTTGNCTGCTCTGATGAGGAAGTGGGTTAAAACACAGGCCATGGGGCACACGCTACGAGCCTGGACACGAAGCAGCTGCTGCCTATGTGGGGAACGAGGTTGGGGGGGAGGAGAAGTGAGATCCCATCCCTCAGTGGTTTCAGAGCAAGGCCCTGGGCACCTTTGGGGCCCAGATTCCGTGAGGCCCAAGAGAAAAATGGAGTCTAAGGCAAATGCCCCCACTATTTCAGGGGACATGTCACGGTGGCATCGGGGGTACCTCAGTGGCTCCAGCTTACAAGTCCTGTTGTACTATCAGGTGAGTTTCCCTGAGGCTAAGGGCCAAGACAGAACCTGCACCAGCTCAGCCTGCAGGGTGCCAAGTGACCACATCAGGTGACCCTGTCCCCACCCATCCCTACCCCTATCTGCCTCCACCCAGGGGAACTCAACTGTGGGGAGTGAAGAGCAGGGTATTGTCTAGCTACCCTGTTCGCAGACAAGTCCAGGGGTCAAGGCCTCACTCCACATGTCCTCAGGCCCAGGTCAGCCTGGGCCAGTCCTGGGTCCCCCAGAGACCTGCAAACCCCCATTTCCTGGAGGTATTTGGCAAGCAAGGAGAGGGTGAAGATTAGGGGAGAGGAGGGTTTCCCTCCTCAGAGAGGCATGTGAGCATCAGAGAACTCAAAGGAGTCAGGCCTGAGAACCCGTCACCCTGCTCCCTGGGGTGGGTCAGAGTTGGCTGACCTTGGCCAGGGTGAAGGGGACAGAGAGGCGAGGAGGGGGTACTGGGGCTGCAGCCACGCTCACGCCCGCTGCACTTCCTCCACCTCCTTGCTCTGTGGACTATCAAAAATCCTCTTTCATTCTTTTTTTTAAAGCTATTTTAAAATTGCTTTGGATTTTTTAAATGTTACCTGTCTTTTATGTGTTTTGTGGGGAGGCAGAATGTAAGCCACACATTTAAAAGAAAAAGTTTCAGGCAAATTTCCTCACCTTTTCAACTGGGACACCAGTACCTGTCCTCCGCACCTTGTAGGAGAGGAGTTGGGGACACTGGACAAATGCACTGGGAGATGGAGTTACAGGCACTGCGTACAATGTTTGCATCTGTGACACCTGCGTGTCTCTGGTCAGCTCAGACTGTGGGTCCCTGACCTTCTCTGGCCAAAAACATGTGGGAGAGACTTCGCCAGAGTGTCCTTAGGAGGTGGAGGGAGGGCTGACCTGCTGAGTGGGTGCCTGCGTGGTGCCTGGGTGGGTGGGCACCCTGGGCTCAGCCTCACTCAGCCCCTTCAAAGTGGGTTAGAGGGAGGAAACTAGGTGGCCTGACTGATACCCCACAAGCTCAGGAACCACACTACTGTATTTGGGGTCAGAGGAGACCTGGGGGGTTCTGGTTGCCTCTGCTAATATCTCTCAATGTGAAAGAAATTAATGGCACTTTCAAAAGGTGACTCCCCCCCCAAATAAAGAATGAAGGGCTGGGGAAGGGGCTTGGCATGGCAGTGGCCCATGCTCCTGAGGGACAGAAAGCCTTGGGGAAGGTCCTCGTGGGGGCTGCCTATAGAGCCGTCTCACTCCTCCCACCCACAGTTGGAGTAGGCGTGGTGCCTGGTCAGGGCCACCAGGGGGAGCTTCGAGCCCATGAGAGCTGAGCACAGACTGGGTGGGAGGCCAGCTCTAGGAGGGGCCCCAGGAGCACTCACCAGGACATGAGGGCCCTACTGCCTCTTGCTCACATGAGTAATTAGTGATGAATTCACCCACAGGTTGTCCATTTTTCTCTTGAGATGCCGACTAGCCAGGTTAAAACTCTCTGCTATTTTTAAAAGATAGACTGCTCCCAGTTGCCCCCGCTTTTCACTGTAATACAAGCAAAATTACCCCAAAGACAAGGCTCAGAGTAGAGGAAGCTAGTGCCTTGGCTTCCTCAGCGGGAATCCCTCGCACCTCGCTCTTGGGAACATGTGCCCCAGTCATGGCCTCTGGCCCCTGACACAGACACCTTGATCTCTCCAAGTTCTATGGACCCCGGATAAGACTGTGAAGTTGCTCCAGGGGAGGCCCGGTGACAAAAGGGGAGGGGTCTGTTTAAGACCCCCCCATGGCCCTGTGAGAGGACACACCTGGTGCTGGCCCCTCGGCGGCCCGAGGGCACCTTAGGTTGGGTGTCCCTGCTCCATGCTGGCGATGGTGTTGCTATATTACAAACATCTGCTCAGGCCTCGATGCCACGCCAGCCCTTTCCCTTACTGAGAGGCTTAAACCCTGAGAGCCTCAGTCCCTTTGTCTGGGAAATGGTGGCTCCCATGTTGCAAAGCTCTTGTATTACAAAAGATAAAACAGAGGCAAAGAGCCTGAGGCCAGGCTGCCCTGCCCTCAGGGCCTGCAGTGCCTAGGGCGAGGCCAGCCTGAGGGGGCCCTGCAGCACTGCCTGGATCCATGAGTCCCCAGGCCCAGGAGGCCCAGTCTGCTTCTGAGAAACTGCAGAGCCCTGGATGCTGGCTTGTGGGTGGGTTGTGGAGGGACGTGGTGTTCCAGGAGCCAGTCACGCATTCCAGTGTCAGAACTCCAGGCCTCCCACACCTGCAGCCTAACTTTTTGGTGGCTCTCTCCTCCGAAAGATGCACATTTCTCAGGCTGTTAAGGCTGTGGAAGGTTCCTGAAAGGTACTTTCCAGATTCAGGGAGATCAAGCCAGACCCGCACACGTGTTTTAGGGTTGGGAACATGAAAATCCCTGCTGTGGGATATTAGCTTCCTACCACTGGGGGCTGCCAGGAATGCCTGACACCACCGTGAGGTCTCCCATGTCTCCACGTGGACTGTCCCATCACACCCAAGCACAGGGCACAGGTTCGGGCTTCCAGCCCTGCTCCCCACACAGCTGTTGCTGCAGAGGGGTTTGTCGCAGGGAATCCCAAGTGCCAACACCAAGCTCTCAGACCAGCGGATCTCAAAAGTGTCCTCCTCAGAGGACAGATGAAGAGCCTCGCTTGGCAGGCCTGGGGGAAGGAAGGTGATAGGAACTGCGGTCCTAACAAGTTCCCAGGCGATGCTGAAGCTGCAGGTGTGGGAATCACATGTTAAGAGCCACCATGATCTTGGATCAATCCCTGAATGGCCCAGAGCTGAGGAGCAGGACCCAGCCAGAGACCGCANCAGGCGATGCTGAAGCTGCAGGTGTGGGAATCACATGTTAAGAGCCACCATGATCTTGGATCAATCCCTGAATGGCCCAGAGCTGAGGAGCAGGGCCCAGCCAGAGACCACACNTCTTGGATCAATCCCTGAATGGCCCAGAGCTGAGGAGCAGGACCCAGCCAGAGACCGCACCCCATGCTGCCAGCACAAGAACAGAAGTGGGCCCAGCTCCTCACTTAGCAGCACAGGTCAAAACTGCCCAGCACACTAGAGCTCAGGATTCAGCCCAGCTCACCCTGCGCCTGCTGGCTGGTCATCCAGCGCCTATGCTCAGGACCACACTACCTGGCCCAGGGGATGCAGAACCAGGCAGGCAGTCGGGCTCAGCTCTGGGAGCTTCCACTAAAGTAAGGAAAGAGACAGTGAAACCAGACATAACAGAGCAGTGGAACCAGAGCCCTGCAGTGCAGTAAGGAGCTGGTTAAGGTGGGGCTGGGAGGACAAATGCCAGAGGCCACTCTGCAGAGGGAGGAGCATGAGGCAAGAAGTGCTCGGCAGAACAGGATGGGGAACAAGGTGTCAGGGGTGGTCCTGGCCCCGTGTAGGTGGGCAGGTCGAGGTGAGGTGGAGTGTGAAGTGTGTGCCATTCAGATCATCACCGGCAGCCCAGCACGCCTGGACCAGGGGCCAGCAGCTTCTGTCCTGTCCAGGCTCCTGAATGTGGCACAATGGCTTGGCTTGCCTGACTGGGTATCTCAGGTGGCCAAGCAATGCGGTCTGGCAGGTAGGTTTCAGTGGACCCTCCTTTGTGCCACTGAGAGATGGCCCCCAGCTGCCCCCAGCTGCCTGGACTCACTCTCTGGTCTGGGAACTGCAGGAGGAGGTATGGCTGTTTAATTGCTAAAGGGAATGAAGATTAATGAGCAGTGGCCTCCACCTAGATGAGATGTCTGTGGGTTGATGGGGGCTTGAGCCCATTCTCATGTTCAACATGAGAAAGGGGGCTCAGAGGCTGTGGCTCTCATCACACACTGACAGGCCCGAGAAAGTCCAGGAGTCACCTGGTCTCAACCTCGGAAAGTCCCCAAATAGAACCTTACTATAGTAAGACTCCCCAGTAGGCTTTACAAATAAATTGAGTTAGAGGGTTTATTTGTAATTCCCCAGCCTGGGTTCCCATGTGAGGGTTCCAGATGGCAGCAAGGCTAGGCCTCTACTTGATCTGCTCAGTGAATGGCCCCCAAGCCTGGGCCCTGCTGGCCATGCCCAGAGTCCAACTGGTGCCACAGGATATGTATGGCCTACAGTCAGGCTTTGTTTAGTCCACATGGGGTTTCAAGGTTTGGGAAATTCCACATGGAATTCCAGGTATGTAGCTTCTTTTGAATTGCCATAAAGGCTCTGAGTGCACCAGTACACATTCCTGCAGCATTGCCGGGTTTGATCTGATGGGCAGCAGTGGCCTGCAGGTGGCATGGTTACTCCCTCGTGTCTTCCACTCCCTGTGCCAGTGCTGCCTCTCATATTTGGACCTGCTGGGCACTGGGAGAACTTTTTGGGGAGCTCTCCTCCATGTCAAGCCTTTCCCCTAATGTTTATTCTGACCGATAAGCACAAAGACCCTCCTTTTATGCCTCGATTGCCCAGTGAACTGCGTATGCCAGGGCCCTGTGCTGAGCTCCTCATTTGTGCTGTGGGATTGGTGATCTCAAAGATTTCAAAGCCCAATGTCCTGACAATTCACCGATACAAAAGTGCTAGGTGGAAGGAGGAGGTCCACAGGATGATTCCCACCTGCTCTGAATTCTCACAGGGGTATTCTGACCCTCTGCACCCCTTGCGGGGGCCTCAAGCAGAGAGCCTGGCTACTGGTCACCTGATCCCCAACTCAGAGGATGGGTGACCTGATAATTCACTACCCAAATGGGGACACTTCTGAGTGAAGGAGATGGTCTTAACAATTACACTGGAATAACAGGTATGAACTGGGACTGTCTGCGGCAGACGGTGGATAAATGGTGACTCTGAATAAAGAAGAGAAACAGGCCTCACCTCTCGTTGTCTCAGCTGAAAGCTTCTGCCCTCATGGTAGCAGTTGTAGGTCTTCAGCAGGCTTAGGAGCTCTGACCTGAGAAGGGAAAGACACATGCATACTCTTTGAGCGCGGCCAGGTCCTGGACAAGGTGTTTGCCTTCATTGGCCTCAGTTTCTTCATTTGTAGAATGGGCACAATAGCACATGTCTTGCTGGCCACACATAATCGGTTAAGAGACCAGACTGCCATTGGGCACATGCCCTTCAGTCTTCTTGAGGATTTCACATATCAGCCCCATGGAAGGGGTGGGACTGAGAGGGACATGAAACTCGCAGATGGACCACATCACTGTGCCCTAGGGTGTCTGCATACTCACCATTGTGGATGAAAGCTCCGGACAGCTCCCTGTGCTCCGGGCCATTCCCTCAAATAAATCTCTGGGGCTTGGATTATTGACATTTCAAAGGCTCCTGCTTTCCCCCCATGTTACTTCCTACAAGGGCCTGGTATGGCTGCCATGGGGGCACCACAAGGGCAACCTGCCTTTCTCATCCTGACTTCCCGAGGTATGACCAAGGGACGAAGGTAACAGCGGTAAGTAGGATCCTGAAGGCCTAGGGAGGCCACTCTGCCCACACGGTTCCTCCCCGGAATAAAAGGGAAAAACCCACTGTGCCTTGGCTGGCGTGTGGCAGAGAGAAGACGCTGGCAGCAGCCTGTACCCAGGCTGGGCTCTGCAGGGCAGCACCATCCAATAGATATAAAATGGGAGTCACAGGTGGAATTTTAAATCTTTAGTAGCCACAATACAAGGGAAAATGAAATAGGTGAAATTGGTTTTAATAACCCATTTTATTGAACCCAATATATCTAACATATTGTCATGTCAGCATGTAATCTATATAAAAATATTGATGAGATCTTGGTCATTATTTTATTTTGTAAGAAGTGTTTGCCACCTGGAACATCTTTTATATCAACTGCACCTCTCCAGCCACAGGTCACATGCTCCGCAGCCACACTCAGGTGGTGGCTCCCCTGCCCGAGGGCACCTTTAACTTTACTGCAACAGCCCCAAACAGAGGATGGCAAGACCCAGTCTGTGATGTGGGGACGATGGTAACCGACAGGGGAAGTGACTTACAACTTCATGGCATTAACAAAGCAGGATTCAATGTTGTATGTTCACTGTGCTTATAAGTGTGTAAACGCTGAACACAAAATTATTAGGAGATATATACATAGAATTAACATGTTATGGTGATTATGACTTTCCCCAAAATGATATCTAATATTGTTCTTATTATAAAATTTAAATAAGAAAGATGATGGTATGGGAAGCATTGTGAAATGATACAATAAAATGCTGTCTGTTTTCTCAGGGCCTCTGATAAGAGGACATAGGCGCAGGTCTTCAGCAAAAGCTAGTCCGCATCAGAGGCTGGCTTGTTTTCAGGTCGGCTCATAGGAGTTGCCAAGAGTAGAAGATATTTAGACTCAGAACTCAAAAAGCAACATAAAATGACAACTATACTTTAGTTCAGAAATAAATTTTCAAAAGTATCCTAAACATTTTTTACGATGAGAGTAAACCAAATAAAAATAAGCAAAGCTAAAAATCATTGTGTCAATAAAATACACTTTTTCAGTAAAAACTCAAAACCAGTTTTTCGGGTTTTTTCTTTCACTGTTTAACACAACAATGAGAGTGTCAGCATCGCTCTAGTTATTTTTGTTCCTTGTTTTTCAGTATTGCTCTAGTTTATAAATAAATACCGTCCGCAGAGTCTCAGGGCACATTGTCTGCCCATCCTGCTTTTGTGAGCCGGAGGGGCAGAGGTCAAGTGCACACCCTGAAGATCCTTAGCTCCAAAGACGCCC